GCCAAGTATACAAGCAGTGTGGAGTGTGTCTGCCAAGTGCACAGGCAGTGTGGAGTGTGTCTGCCAAGTACACAGGCAGTGCAGAGTGTGTCTGCCAAGTACACAGACAGTGTGGAGTGTGTCTGCCAAATACACAGGCAGTGTGGAGTGTGTCTGCCAAGTACACAGGCAGTGTGGAGTGTGTCTGCCAAGTACACAGGCAGTGTGGAGTGTGTCTGCCAAGTACACAGGCAGTGTGGAGTGTGTCTGCCAAGTACACAGGCAGTGTGGAGTGTGTCTGGAAAGTATACAGGTAGTGTGGAGTGTGTCTGCCAAGCACACAGGCAGTGTGGAATGTGTCTGCCAAGTACACAGGCAGTGCGGAGTGTGTCTGCCAAGTACACAGGCAGTGCAGAGTGTGTCTGCCAAGTACACAGGCAGTGTGGAGTGTGTCTGCCAAGTACACAGGCAGTGCAGAGTGTGTCTGCCAAGTACACAGGCAGTGCAGAGTGTGTCTGCCAAGTACACAGGCAGTGCAGAGTGTGTCTGCCAACTACACAGGCAGTGTGGAGTGTGTCTGCCAAGTACACAGTGCAGAGTGTGTCTGTCAAGTACACAGGCAGTGCAGAGTGTCTGCCAAGTACACAGGCAGTGTGGAGTGTGTATGCCAAGTACACAGGCAGTGTGGAGTGTGTCTGCCAAGTACACAGGCAGTGTGGAGTGTGTCTGCCAAGTACACAGGCAGTGTGAAGTGTGTCTGCCAAGTACACAGGCAGTGCAGAGTGTGTCTGCCAAGTACACAGGCAGTGTGGAGTGTGTCTACCAAGTACACAGGCAGTGTGGAGTGTGTCTGCCAAGTACACAGGCAGTGGTGGGTGGTCTGCCAAGAAACACAGGCAGTGGAGTGTGTCTGCCAAGTACACAGGCAGTGTGGAGTGTGTCTGCCAAGTACACAGGCAGTGCAGTGTGTGTCTGCCAACTACACAGGCAGTGTGGAGTGTGTCTGCCAAGTACACAGGCAGTGCAGAGTATGTCTGCCAAGTACACAGGCAGTGTGGAGTGTGTTTGCCAAGTACACAGGCAGTGTGGAGTGTGTCTGCCAAGTACACAGGCAGTGTGGAGTGTGTCTGCCAAGTACACAGGCAGTGCCGAGTGTGTCTGCCAAGTACACAGGCAGTGTGGAGTGTGTCTGCCAAGTACACAGGCAGTGCAGAGTGTGTCTGCCAAGTGCACAGGCAGTGCAGAGTGTGTCTGCCAAGTACACAGGCAGTGTGGAGTGTGTCTGCCAAGTACACAGGGAGTGCAGAGTGTGTCTGCCAAGTACACAGGCAGTGTGGAGTGTGTCTGCCAAGTACACATGCAGTGTGGAGTGTGTCTGCCAAGTACACAGGCAGTGCGGAGTGTGTCTGCCAAGTACACAGGCAGTGTGGAGTGTGTCTGCCAAGTACACATGCAGTGTGGAGTGTGTCTGCCAAGTACACAGGCAATGCAGAGTGTGTCTGCCAAGTACACAGGCAGTGTGGAGTGTGTCTGCCAAGTACATAGGCAGTGCAGAGTGTCTGCAAGGTACACAGGCAGTGCAGAGTGTGTCTGCCAAGTTCACAGGCAGTGCAGAGTGTGTCTGCCAAGTACACAGGCAGTGCAGTGTGTGTCTGCCAAGTACACAGGCAGTGTGGAGTGTGTCTGCCAAGTACACAGGCAGTGTGGAGTGTGTCTGCCAAGTACACAGGCAGTGCGGAGTGTATCTGCCAAGTACACAGGCAGTGCAGTGTGTGTCTGCCAAGTACACTGGCAGTGCAGAGTGTGTCTGCCAAGTACACAGGCAGTGCAGAGTTTGTCTGCCAAGTACACAGGCAGTGTGGAGTGTGTCTGCCAAGTACACAGGCAGTGTGGAGTGTGTCTGCCAAGTACACAGGCAGTGTGGAGTGTGTCTGCCAAGTACACAGGCAGTGTGGAGTGTGTCTGCCAAGAACACAGGCAGTGCGGAGTGTGTCTGCCAAGTACACAGGCAGTGTGGAGTGTGTCTTCCAAGTACATAGGCAGTGCAGAGTGTGTCTGCCAAGTACACAGGCAGTGCAGAGTGTGCCTGCCAAGTACACAGGCAGTGTGGAGTGTGTCTGCCATGTACACAGGGAGTGCAGAGTGTGTCTGCCAACTATACAGGCAGTGTGGAGTGTGTCTGCCAAGTACGCAGGCAGTGCAGAGTGTGTCTGCCAAGTACACAGGCAGTGCAGAGTGTGTCTGCCAAGTACACAGGCAGTGTGGAGTGTGTCTGCCAAGTACATAGGCAATGCAGAGTGTCTGCAAGGTACACAGGCAGTGCAGAGTGTGTCTGCCAAGTTCACAGGCAGTGCAGTGTGTGTCTGCCAAGTATACAGGCAGTGCAGTGTGTGTCTGCCAAGTACACAGGCAGTGTGGAGTGTGTCTGCCAAGTACACAGGCAGTGTGGAGTGTGTCTGCCAAGTACAGAGGCAGTGTGGAGTGTATCTGCCAAGTACACAGGCAGTGCAGAGTGTGTCTGCCAAGTACACTGGCAGTGCAGAGTGTGTCTGCCAAGTACACAGGCAGTGTGGAGTTTGTCTGCCAAGTACACAGGCAGTGTGGAGTGTGTCTGCCAAGTGCACAGGCTGTGTGGAGTGTGTCTGCCAAGTACACAGGCAGTGCAGAGTGTGTCTGCCAAGTACACAGGCAGTGCAGTGTGTGTCTGCCAAGTACACAGGCAGTGTGGAGTGTGTCTGCCATGTACACAGGCAGTGTGGAGTGTGTCTGCCAAGAACACAGGCAGTGTGGAGTGTGTCTGCCAAGTACACAGGCAGTGTGGAGTGTGTCTGCCAAGTACACAGCAGTGTGGAGTGTGTTGCCAAGTACACAGGCAGTGGGTGTGTCTGCCAAGTACACAGGCAGTGTGGAGTGCGTCTGCCAACTACACAGGCAGTGTGGAGTGTGTCTGCCAAGTACGCAGTGCAGAGTGTGTCTGCCAAGTACACAGGCAGTGCAGAGTGTGTCTGCCAAGTACACAGGCAGTGTAGAGTGTGTCTGCCAAGTACACAGGCAGTGTGGAGTGTGTCTGCCAAGTACACAGGCAGTGTGGAGTGTGTCTGCCAAGTACACAGGCAGTGCAGAGTGTGTCTGCCAAGTACACAGGCAGTGCAGAGTGTGTCTGCCAAGTACACAGGCAGTGCAGAGTGTGTCTGCCAAGTACACAGGCAGTGTGGAGTGTCTGCCAAGTACACAGGCAGTGCAGAGTGTGTCTGCCAAGTACACAGGCATTGTGGAGTGTGTCTGCCAACTACACAGGCAGTGCAGAGTGTGTCTGCCAACTACACAGGCAGTGCAGAGTGTGTCTGCCAACTACACAGGCAGTGCAGAGTGTGTTTGCCAACTACACAGGCAGTGTGGAGTGTGTCTGCCAAGTACACAGTGGAGAGTGTGTCTGCCAAGTACACAGGCAATGCAGAGTGTGTCTGCCAACTACACAGGCAGTGCAGAGTGTGTCTAGCAACTACACAGGCAGTGTAGAGTGTGTTTGCCAAGTACACAGGCAGTGCAGAGTGTGTCTGCCAAGTACACAGGCAGTACAGAGTGTGTCTGCCAAGTACATAGGCATAGCAGAGTGTGTCTGCCAAGTACACAGGCAGTGTGGAGTGTGTCTGCCAAGTACACAGGCAGTGTGGAGTGTGTCTGCCAAGTACACAGGCAGTATGGAGTGTGTCTGCCAAGTACACAGGCAGTGCAGAGTGTGTCTGCCAACTACACAGGCAGTATGGAGTGTGTCTGCCAAGTACACAGTGCAGAGTGTGTCTGCCAAGTACACAGGCAGTGCAGTGTGTGTCTGCCAACTACACAGGCAGTGCAGTGTGTGTCTGCCAACTACACAGGCAGTGCAGAGTGTGTCTGCCAACTACACAGGCAGTGCAGAGTGTGTCTTCCAACTACACAGGCAGTGCAGAGTGTGTCTGCCAAGTACACAGGCAGTGCAGAGTGTGTCTGCCAAGTACAGAGGCAGTGCAGAGTGTGTCTGCCAAGTACACAGGTAGTGCAGAATGTGTCTGCCAAGTACACAGGCAGTGCAGAGTGTCTGCCAACTACAGGCAGTGCAGAGTGTGTCTGCCAGCTAGAGGCAGTGCAGAGTGTGTCTGCAAACTAGAGGCAGTGCAGAGTGTGTCTGCCAACTACAGGCAGTGCAGAGTGCGTCTGCCAAGTACACAGGCAGTGCAGAGTGTGTCTGCCAACTACAGGAGTGCAGAGTGTGTCTCCCAAAACTACACAGGCAGTGCAGAGTGTGTCTGCCAACTCACAGCAGTGCAGAGTGTGTCTGCCAAGTACACAGGCAGTGCAGCGTGTGTGTGCCAACTACAGGCAGTGCAGAGTGTGTCTGCCAACTACAGGCAGTGCAGAGTATGTCTGCCAAGTACACAGGCAGTGCAGAGTGTGTCTGCCAAGTACACAGGCAGTGCAGTGTGTGTCTACCAACTACACAGGCAGTGCAGAGTGTGTCTGCCAAGTACACAGGCAGTGCAGAGTGTGTCTACCAACTACACAGGCAGTGCAGAGTGTGTCTGCCAACTACACAGGCAGTGCAGAGTGTGTCTACCAACTACGCGGGCAGTGCAGAGTGTGTCTGCCAACTACACAGGCAGTGCAGAGTGTGTCTGCCAACTACACAGGCAGTGCAGTGTCTGCCAACTACACAGGCAGTGCAGTGTGTGTCTGCCAAGTACACAGGCAGTGTGGAGTGTGTCTGCCAACTACACAGGCAGTGTGGAGTGTGTCTGCCAACTACACAGGCAGTGTGGAGTGTGTCTGTCAACTACACAGGCAGTGTGGAGTGTGTTTGCCAACTACACAGGCAGTGTAGTGTGTATTTGCCAACTACACAGGCAGTGTTGTGTGTATTTGCCAACTACACAGGCAGTGTGGAGTGTATCTGCCAACTGCACAGGCAGTGTAGAGTGTGTCAGCCATGTACACTGGCAGTGTAGTGTGTGTCTGCCAACTACACATTAATCAGGTGTACTCACCATCCTCCTTTCCTGGTGGCGGTGAGGCCGAATCTGGACTCCTTGTCGACACTGGTTCTGACGCCGACGATGCCTTGCCCCTGAGGAGTGACGACTCTCCCGCGGATGACAGCCACCCTCCTGTACACACCGGGCGACGGTGGCGGCGAAGGGGTTAGACACACTGTTAGATAAATGGGGTCCCGGGAGTGTAACACCTCCTCCCGCGGCTCAGGGAGGCAGGGAGGTGGTAAAGGGGTGCTGGAACCACTTAAAATGGGAGGGATAAAAAAGAAAAAAAAAGGCGTCTCCTGGTAAGTTAATGGGGATTAAAAAAAAAAAGAGGAAGTGACTGACTGATGGAGAGCCTCTGTCTGACGACCTTAAAGGGAAGTGACAAACTTTCAAACTCTTTATATTATTTTTTTAGGGTGGGAAAGTTACATAGTTATTCGTCAAGTTGGGTGAGTGAATATCAAGTTGACTCCTGGATATATACACACAATGTATGAGTCAGTATCAACAACAATTATATATCATGCCACAGCCTAACAAACCCAAGAACGTGAGCAGTATTGTACTGTAATGCGTTATGATTAAAAGTAATCATAATAAAATGGTCCATGCATGGGGTAAATGCATAAATATTATATAAAAGTGCAAAATCTTAGTTTCTTGTGCAAATCCATTGCAGTCTTGAGAAGAGTGAAGGAAAGAGGAAGAAACAGAGACAAAGTGAGGAGGAGCACAAGTTAATAATAAAAAAAAAAGATACAGCAATGAGATAGAGAAGTGTACAAAAGTCTGGTTAAAAAAAATTGATATGGAAAAACAAAAAAAGGTAAACCACTGCGCATGGATGTCATAAAATCACAGTAGAGTCAATCGGGTCTGTTCCGAGGTTGGGGATAGAACACAGTGTCTACTGGTGTCCCGCGTCCTCATCGCCTCGCACGGCTCTGACCTCGACTTTGTAATGGCATCACAATATGACACTTAACACTCAATGGGCTGTTGACTTTATGGTGGACGCTGCCAAAGTTTGCAGTCACAGAAATCAAGGTCACAGTGTTGCGAATGGGACATTGGAAAAAAGTTTGTTGTTTTGGCTACATATCTAAGCTACAATGCATGGAATTGGGAAATGTCCTGTATCAGAAGCCACCTGTATCAAAACATTAGATAAACAATACATAGCTGAAATATATCATCATTATAATCATTCTGGGAGAGAATATACAGGGAAAGTACAAAAGAAGTTGGATTTTTTTCTCTATATTTTTTTTCAAGTTGCTTTGAATAACCACTAATATAAATGTTCAACTCTACACCCGGACACAGCCGGTGAGACCGTCCGTGGCAACAGCACTGCCAGCTACACTAAGGCCGAGGACGGTATCATAAAGCCAGTGCTAGCAGCAGGGCGAAGTCTGGCGAAGAACGCTGGAAGGGCCCTTAATTAATGCACGATCTCTGCTGGCGTTCCTCAAGTCTGGCGTCCTGCAACCTTTAGCCAGACCTGGCCTGCCAGGCGACCTTCCACCAGACCTGGCCTGCCAGTCGACCTTCCACCAGACCTGGCCTGCCAGGCGACCTTCCACCAGACCTGGCCTGCCAGTAGTGCTCGCTTTACTGTACCGGCCCTAGATGATCGTCGGTCCGGTATGAAGGTGCGGAGTGTGGCGATGCAGCCGCCTCCCCGCCTTGTGCCTCGTCTCTCTCCAGTCGCTAGTACCTCCAATCCAGACACGGCTGCAACCAGCTCAGACAGGGCCAGAGCCACAGCTCGAACATAACCATAGTTAATGCTTGGATATGGCCCTAACCACAGCTCAGACATGGCCCTAGCCAGCTCGGACAAGGGGTGGTATGGCTTATATTATACATACCGGTGTGTGAGAAGACTGGACATGTCTGCCTTTTTGGGTCATATTTTACCCACCCCTCCATCAATCCCTCCCTCCTGCCCTTCCATCCCTCCCTCCCTTCCCACCCATCCCCACACTTTCTCGCAGCTTCCCACATCACCGACACCCACACCACCCCGCGTTCGAGCCGGGGGGAAGTGGAGGGGGCGTGCTGGGGGAGACACACGGGGAGGGAAGGCGTGAGCCTGCGCTACAACGACAGGTTTCCGCACCACCAGGGACCAGCCAGCGACCCCGCCTCGGTCAGTACCCGCTCAAGTACAACACAGAAGTCTAGTGACACACACACACATATTTGACACTGGTGGCCTGGGGACGCGACACAGGATGAGGGGTGGAAGGGGAGGGGGATGCATGACACTCTGTTCAGGGGGGGAGGGAGGAATGTGTGTGGGGGGAAGGGAGGGGAGAGGAGTGTCATGACACACGGAGAGGGGGTGGTTGGGGTCATACACATGCAGGGGGGAGGGGGCGGGGGGAGGGTCGGCACACGGACACAGAGACAAGGACAACAAGCAGAAGCGGGTATGATGGGGGAAAGTGAAGTAATAATAATAATAATAATAATAATAATAATAATAATAATAATATAATTTAATAATTAATAATAATAATAAATAATGCAAATGTTCTTTTTCCTAATGTACTTACAAAAAAAAAAATCTGTCTTTTTGTATAATTTTTACACTCGTTGATTAAAACGGAGAGAATCTCTTATTTCAAGATGTTTTCAGGTGATATCAGCCAGAGGTCAGGTGAAGCTGCTTGGTAAATTATTTCAGCTGAACTGTGTTATTTCCTGTTCAACAGAGGCACTTGTGAAGGAATACTCCAGCATTACTGCTTAACTTACACGCTTCTGAAGGATTGCTCTGACTCTCTTGCTCAACAGAGGTACTTGTGAAGGACTGATCAACCACTGTCGTCTTGGTATAAACAGAAAATACCCGGGGTAGAAATACGTTGACAATAATGCTCAGATATACAGGAACAAATAAACGACGGAATAGAAACGTACCGAAGAAAAATAACTTCAGCTTACAACAGCGTTATACAAGCTACAGCAAGCGGGTATTATTCATATCCCGCACCCCACAACAGTTTTATCAAGGCTACATAAGAATGGTGACACTCGCATAACGCACTTCACAGCAGCTGTAACGAAGGAAGAATTTGCTTTGATGTTTCGTCACAAGAGCGACCAAGACACATTTTTCTTGTTACTTTTTGATTTAGTTTCAGTGTGTTACCCTCACAGTGTTGCTCGGTACAGAAAGCAAGATTCCTATACACAACCAAGCAAACTAGTAATCGAAACACTTCAGGATGGGATCGGTTGAAATCCAGCTATATATATATATATATATATATATATATATATATATATATATATATTATATATATATATATATATATATATATATATATATATATATATACATATATTACAAGGAATTCGCGAGAGCAGGCGAAATATACACAAACACTGATCTCTGGCTGAAGGAGACTTGAGCCTACGAATCTTAGGACAAGGTACGCAGTGTTTTACCAATCTACCCACACTGAACAATACCTTGGCGTGTAGCTTGCGCTACACGTTTGATCCAAGGCAGCCAGCTTTCATGGAGAAGGCTTACAGCTTTTCATCTCATCCCCTGCATGCATCAGCCTTACTAGTAAGGCTGATGCATGCAGCATGTAGCTTGCGCTACACGCCAAGGTATTGTCCAGTGTGGGTAGATTGGTAAAGCACTGCGTACCTTGTCCTAAGGTTCGTAGGTTCGAGTCTCTTCAGCCAGAGATCAGTGTTTTATATATATATATATATATATATATATATATATATATATATATATATATATGTGTGTGTGTGTGTGTTGTGTGTGTGTGTGTGTGGTGTGTGTTGTGGCGAATAAGTAAAACTTCCGATTTTGGCTTAAATAGCAACGCTCTTCTTGCCGAATAAAGCAAGCAAAGATTTATGTATGCAATAGTTTCGCAAAAATCATTCTGAACCTGACGAAAAAATACTTCATTGTGTTTGTTTATTACTCAATTGTTGCAAACTTATCTAAAATATATTTAGCTGAATTAGGCTAAATTAAACTGCGCTTGTTATAATAAGTTTAGGTATGTTTTCTTTTGGTACAAAATTATTAACTTCTACATTAACATAAATGAAAAAAAAAAATTTAAACGTATAAGAGAAAATTTTATATGAGTTCTTGCTAAATGACCAATTTTACCTATTCGGCACGACATAGGAACAAAGAACATAAGATGCAAGGAACAATGGGCCAGTAGACCCATACCTCGAGTGCCGATCTGTTCGAATATCGAACGAATTTTTCCCTTAAGGAATAATGTAAATTTGATTAATCCGCTTCAGACTCCCAAAAATACACTTATAGCGAATTTGCGGTGTATTTTCGTATGTGTTTATGATTATATTCTCGTAGAGATGATTTTGAATGGTTTACAGACTAAAAGTACCTTGAAATTGAGCTAAAGTAGCGGAATCTTCAATTTTTGCTGATGTTCAAGAGTAAACAAATCACGTCACGCGTCCAATACACGTCAACTGGTGGGTTTAATATGGTTCCACAAATGCGCTGATATTATTTTTACCATTTTCTCAATAATGCAGTAGTCCGCAAACAGTAAATCTTCTATTTTTTTGTGTGAATAAAAATTCAAAATGGAAAGCAATATAAGAGGGGCCCGAAGTAGGAGCAGTTATAGGAGAGGGAGGGACCTGCATAAGGAGCATTCAGTATCTGATGAGTCGTCCTGATAGCCGGGTTGGTGTGAATACAGTGTTGTGCAATTACACCAATATTAGTAATAAAGTTTATCTATCACATTTATCCCAAATTGATATCAGAAACAAGATAGATAACCTAGAAGCACAATAAAGACGCCGAAATTAATAAAAGGCATAGTCAGGGGCCCAAGACTGTACAATTGCCTCCCAGCATACATAAGGGAGATTACCAATAGACCCCTGGCTGTCTTCAAGAAGGCATTGGACAAGCACCTAAAGTCAGTACCTGACCAACAGGGCTGTGGTTCGTACGTTAGCTTGCGTGCAGCCAGCAGTAACAGCCTGGCTGATCAGACCCTGATCCACCACGAGGCCTTGTCTCAGACCGGGCCGCGGGGGCGTTGACCCCCGAAACTCTCTCCAGGTAAACTCCAGGTAGAGGCAGTGTT